CTCTAACCAACCACCTTTTATAGCAAAAACCAGCTGAGGAAAAGAATCAAAAAAGTAAATGTTACCATGTGTTGCTAATAGATAGAAATGTCCAGTTCATGATGCCATTGGCAACATGACAACTTGAGTTGCTTTGATTTCATTGGCTTTCCCTTTTCTCTCTTTCTCTTTGCGCCCTTTTGTCTCCATGCTAGGTTGACTGATTTATCAATGCCCACGGCAAGACCAATACTGGACAGACAGATGGGTTTCTGATGGGCTACAGTAAAATTATCTGTTTATGGGCTTGCAGTGTCTCAGCCCTCTACAGATCAAGAATTGTAGCTCTATGATATATCAATACAAACCATGTCATGACATGAACAAGCCCCTCTAGTTCTTCCAAGCAATTAACCTACCAGTCAGATGCATGCAAAATGACCAGGGCAAGAAAGGACATAAAAAGGACTGTGTGAGATTTCAAAGTATAATGTCAAAATTAACTTAACATATTCCCTTATTCTCTCCATCCTTAACTGGCCTTTTTGACTGCCTTTTCCTTCCTTCTCTTGTTTCCCCCATGTTTAGTATGTTTCCCTGTCTGCCCTCCCAGTTCCTCTGTGTCTATTGCTTTCTTTTCCCTCTATGTTGTGTTGCCATCTGAAACAAAGGAGGTGTCTCAACCAATGGGATTCTTCATCTAGGTGTTCATTAACCATGTTTATTTTCTATATGTACAATTTTTCTACAGTATTTACTTTTATTTTTATTGTTACGGTTCTTTGATGAACATAAAGTGGAAATTTATTATGAAAAATAGTTTTGAAGATTAACGAGTAAATAAAATATTACCCAAGTGAGCCTGGAGTGCGTTTGTGTGTTGGTTTTTGCTCCATCTGCCTGTTTTCTATGACAGTAAACTAAAAAGAGAGCCTGTCTTTCTGAAAAAAAACATTAAATGTTCATATCCATAAAATTCACTGAAGCTCTAAAGTTAACAAATATATGTTTGCACAAATAAATTATATTTAGTTGGGGGGGAAAAGTATAAAGACTAATTGAATTTAAGCAAACAAATCTTATCTGTTGCATATTTGCTGACAAGAAAAAAACTAAAGTTTGTAGCACAAATATAATACCATATATGTGTGCTCTCTTGGACTCCATTATAATTTAAAATAATTGGTAGATTATTCCATCCATCCATCCATCCATCCATCGTCAACCGCTTATCCTGCTTACAGGGTCGCGGGGGGCTGGAGCCAATCCCAACTGACATTGGGCAAAAGACAAGGTACACCCTGGACAGGTCGCCAGTCCATCGCAGGGCCGGTAGATTAATCAATAATCAAAATAAACGTTAGTTGCAGCATTACTTTGGACACAGCCAAGCTGGCTGTTTCCCCCTGTTTCCAGTCTTTATCCTAAGCTAAGTTAACCAACTGCTGGCTGTATATTTAACATATATACATGAGAGTGGTATTGATGTGCTCATCTAATTCATCACCAGAAAGCAACAAGTGTATTTCCCAAAATGTCAAAATATTCCTTTGAGTACCTGCTTTTAACAAACTATCAGCATGTGAGAGATTCCCCCATATCCTGGCTTGTCCCTTTCACCTTTCATCTTGCTTCATCAAAGTAAGTAAAGCAGCACCTTTTTTTCCAAGTCTTGTTGTGTCTAACTGGGATAGCAGACACACATAAATATCCCCTTGCACACACCAAACAGGGCTTTGAAGTATGACTCAGTGAAGTGAACAGTATAAGTCTCTGCAGACTTGCTGTTTGCCGGATGAAAGCTCCGTGAGCCTGCAGTTGAGTTTGCGTCCTCGGGTGAGAAGATCTACAAGGACCAGCTATTTCAATAAACACCTCCCAAGCCTCGCTGTCTTCTTCTCTCACTGTTTCTCTTTCTTCTTGTCTTCTGCTGAACAGTGTGTGCTCAATGGCTTGTGTTAGGCTGTAGCCATCTGCCGCTGTGCTGTCCTTGACCACAGCCAGCTAGCACAGAGATAAAGACACAGCCCTGCTATATTTATAGGGTAAATAAGAAACAACTCCAGTGCTCACCAGTGGCCAATCAGTTAACTCGTGTTAGCATACACCTCCAACATTCAAATTTACATTTACAGATAGAACATACCCTCACCAGCAGCACAATAATGTTCATTACACACCAGAAAACAAAACTTGGAATGATGAAACCTGGAGAGTGAAATTTACTATTCTTAGATCCTTACACTACTACCACTAATAAAAAAATTTTTAAAGTTTGACTTGAGGCTGCTACCATAAGGAAAATAGGTCATGTAGTTCCCAAAATCAGAACAGTCTGTCATCAACAGTGGCAGTTTTAGGACATCTCATACAATGTCAGACTTTGCTGATCCTTCATTTGGGCTGAGGCTGCACAAAAGACTGACTTTCATCCACACCTCCCTGCACAGGAAAATTACAGATTAATGGACAAATTCATATCATGTATCTGCACAAAAACACACAGATGCAATGGACCTTCCTCTTCCTCAGTCCTTAATTTCTTTGTGCACCTGCATTTGTCAGAATCTAGCTTCCTGTCTTTCTCTCTCTCCTTTCTTTCCTTGAGTATTATCAAAATACATGTGTGTAAGAGAGAGAGAGAGAGCGTGTGTGTGTGTGCGTGTGTGTGTGTGTGTGTGTATGTGTGCGTGTGTGCGCAGGCATGTGCATGTGAATGCAGAGAGAGCGTCCTTGCAAGCTGGCTGTCCTGCTGACATGTGGGGAGTAGAGTAGAAAGGAATATTATGTCCATTGCTATCAAACTGTGCTCATCTTTCAACACAAATGAGACAAGAGCCTAAACAGATTCCACCTGTTCCCCATAATTAAATTTTTGTTTGTTTGTTGATATGACTTTAAAGCTAAAAAGAAGACAATCCAACAGAAATAAGTAACTCCCTGCTGTCTGTATTATTTTCTCAACTACAAAACTGTAAACAATACAGACTATTTTGCCATTAAAACTATCAACAAACAATAAACTATGAAAAAAATATAGTTTTCAATGTAAAAGGAAGCTTTAAGACTATGGCGCCCCAAAACTGACAAAATGTTGGCTACTAAAAGGTTATCAAGATAAGTCAAAAATATAACTGAATACATCAATTCAATTCAATTTTATTTATACAGCCCCACTTCATAACATAACTTATATCATTGCACTTTTCATAGCGCAGGTCTATAGAGTACTCTGTAATATTACTATCAGAGACCCAACAATTCCCACCATGAGGAAGTACTTGCAAGGAAAAACTCCCTTCTAGCATGTAGAAACAGACATCAATGGAAATGAATAACAGCATTTATGTTGACAGCAATATTAATGAACAATAATGGGAACGTGAGGTATTTTCCACTATTAATGACAAGATGTTCCTTTGACCCCCGACCAATTGGTTAAAAAAAAATCTTTTACCACCAATTATATTAGTTAATGAAATAAATTAGTAATCTTAATTTATTTTGGGCTACTCTATATTTTTCTTTCACTGACTCATTTCATTTTTAAACTCCTTCATTTTCCAGTTGTTTTTTTTTTGTCTTGGTACATATTTAATAGATTTTAATCTATTATTTTGGCCATGGCACACCGTGTAGTTAGCTAGCTTAACTGAAAACAATGGTATCTCCAAAGCCATAAACACACTGAACACCAGTCTTTTCAGCTAGGTGCCTTGCTGAAGCTAACTTTTCTCATAAAATTACTCAAGTCAGTGTGTAGGTAATGTTAATCCGGTACTGCATACTGCTGTAGCATATAAAATCTTATAATAGTAACTAAAGCATTTTAGCCGGAAAGCTAATGCTAGCTATCTAAAACCACTTGGTAGCTCACAGCAGTGTTGTATTACTCGTGACCGGTCTTGGTCTTGAGATCGGTCTTAAGACCACTTTTTGATGGACTTGGTCTTGTCTCGGACTCAACCGTATTTGTACTCGTTCTTGTTTCGGCCTCAGACATTGAGGACTCATGATTTTTTTTCAAGACCAGTCAAGACCATAACTTTGGGAATATCAATAAATTGCTTTTGCATTGTCTAATTTATTTGACATCCTAACTTTGACTGGATGTAAAACTTATTGCTTCAAATGCGACCAAGAACCCTAATTAAAAATGCGTTGTTACCATTAACGACTCCCTGAGATGGTAAGCATTGAAAAGGAGTGTTGAATAAAGATGGTTAAGATGATTTCAGCTCTTAGTGTTTGTATGTGCGTGTTTTAATGGGAATGTGGATCTTTCAGATCAATTTGAGAAGTACCTATAATCTCGTTCCACATTTTATTGTGTGTCATGTAATGTGGGGAACTGGTCTTGGTCTTGTCTCGGTCTCAATAAACTCTGGTCTTGGTCTTGACTTGGTCTCGGTTTGGGAGGTCTTGACCACAACACTAGCTCACAGCAAAGACAGCAGAGGAAATAAGTCTTAGATTTTAATGTGTCAGATTTTGTAAATGTGTGTGATTTAATTTCTCTTCAAATAAACTAAACAAACACAAAAACAGCATTAGCTAACAGTTAGACAAGTTCTGTGGCTCCACAACAAAACCAGAGTTTAAATTAAATTTTTTTCAAGTATTATCCAAACTGCTCTTGCCCAGCAGCAAAGTTAAGTGATTTCATTTCTGTATACTTTTAGATCTGCTATTCAAGAATCAATTTTTAGGTGTTAGGTTAAATTAGGGGAGTCTTCTTGTGAAGGACTGACAGGGAGAAATGTCATTAGCTTTGCAACCAGTACTAGTGTGCCTGCTTGCTAGTGTGGTTTGATTTGAAGGAGAGATTTAAGGGTCAAAGTGTGATGAATAAAAAGCAGAAGCATATAATTTTCACCACAACATCAATATCTATGCTCTGCTGTGGTGTATATTACACACACACATACACAACCCAGCAGAGACCTCCTACATCCTCAATACTCCCATAAAGCTTTTCACACACCCCCATCATTCACCACTGCATGGCAGAAAGCACTAAAAGCACCTCACACTTCTTCTCTCTTTGACCTGGTGGTGAACCCAGAGGGGACTGACGGATTAACGGGCAAAACCATTCATATCAAATGTGGAGTGTGTGCTCTGGTGGACAGCCTGCGTACATTTAAACATCACATGGGAGGCAGAAAGACAGGAAGACAGAGACAAAAAAGTGAGAAGAAGCAAAAGAAGAAGAAAAACAAGAAGATTTGAAGATTTGGTAGAAAGAGGAAATCTAAAGTACAGCTTTCTGGACTGTGGACAGACTGCAATGATGATGGTGATCATTCTAATAATGTTAATGATTGTGATGATAAAGACGACAGCAGCCTCGGCACCTGGCTCTGGGATGGATGTTAAACCTGGAGTTGGGACCAGCTTGGCCAAACGAACCCTGCACTTCTGCTATAAACTGGGATTCGGAGTCACAGATATTCCCTCCAACATCACCAGCAACACCCAGTGCCTGTGGGTACAAACACACACACACACACACACACACACAAGTGTATGCACACAAATATCTGCAACAATGTTAGGAGGTAAATGTAAAGTTGAGGCAGCCATTTCAGGTGTTTACATTGTACACAGCTGTTTTACATCTCAAAAGAATTGTTTGGAAAATTCCCAGCAGCCGAACTATCAGAACTTTACTTGAGTAGTCCCATTTCATGCCACTTTCTACTTCTACTCCATTACATTTATCTGACAGCTTTAGTTCAATTTTCACACACAAAACATACGAAGTGCTTATAAAAAATGTTGATGTTTTGTTATAAATTAAACTACCCAACAGTTTATACAAGTACACCTGAAACTATTAGTTGATTAATCAACAAGTCCATTAATAGAAAAAGAATTGGAAACTATATTGGGTCCAACACAAAATAATTCAAATAAGCTCCATACTTATTTTACATTAATGCATGAGAAATAATAATCTAATGATATAATAATAATAGTATAACATTCACAGGGGCCATTTTTCTTCATTGAGCACTTTTCCTTTTAATACTTTAGTGTATTCCTAATAATGCTTACGTACTTTACTTAAGTAAACCTCAATTGAAATATATTTTGGCCAGCCACCTGTTGTGAATGTGATGTTGGCTGTCTCCTGGTCTCTTTCTCTCTTTCCTTTCTTTAGATTTTTTGTGAACAGAGACAATGTATATTTGTGTTTTTCTTGTATTAATTGTGGGACATTAAAGGGGTACTGCAGCAATTTAACAGTGTAATTCCTAAAGTGCCTGACACAATGCGATTTGAGCTGCTGTTGCCGCTGTGTTCATTGCATTGTGTGGTGTCAAGCGCTTACAGAGAGTTGTGAGACAGATTTTAAAATTAAGGGACTCAATTGAAGCTGAAAAGGCCACAACAACCTGACTTTTGTTCTCTAGTATGGTTCAAGCTCCAAAAACACTACATTTCCCATAATGCAACTAAATGGCATCTTTGGTTGGTCACTCCATGCCTGATAAATGTCCATGTCTTGCAAACTCTACACCACATGTTTAGATGATATCATTCAGTTATTTTTTCAGACTTTAAGAGCTGGCTGTAGAGCCACAGAATACATTACACATTGTTTATATAATGAATAGTACTTTATGGTGAGTAAACTAACAATGCGTAAAATTGGTGTAGGGTCTCTCTACTCAACTAAAACCAGTGACATAGGTCAGTAATACAGAGAATACAACCGAAAATAGTATTTCCTATTCACCAGCCAATACCAATACAGATTCAGGGGGCATACCATGTTTCAAAATCCCATCTCGTGAGTATGCATAATTATTTAGACTTTCCCCTCTAATCCTTGCTCATCTCCTCTTGGCTGAATTTTGCACTGAACTTGCCAACAGTGTTTTTATTAAACATTCATTTACTGAGCGAATGTATGCAAGACAAGATTTAAATTAGAAGACTGTTACCACTCTCATGTCCATACATTTTGTTTCCCCAAAATGATGAGCAAAGGCGTTGATTGAAGGGACTTCAAGTGTTTTTTGACACAGAGCTGGATGAGGCATGAGAAGGTGATTGCCACATGGAGTAAACATGAACCTGTTGTTTTGGCTGTTGGAATGGTCTGAAGGAATCTCAAGGCCAGGGGGAGGGGGGACTGGACAGCAGCGGTGGGGGCCAGCATTAAGATTAGGATCGCCTGAAGCTTTTGCACAAACATGCACGTGAATAGAGTGCAGATGTACATACTCTTACTCACAAAGGCATTCAAACAAATGCAGCCAACACACACACACACACACACAGAGGAGGACGTGGGCGACTTTGTGGCAGAAGTAGCGACTATTCCCAAGAGATGTACTATGAACTCCCAGTCTGCGATGTGTGTGTTCTCATCTGTTCTGTTCTGCTCGAAGTTCAAGGCTCAAGAACAGTGGGGATGTTTACAAGTATGCAATGGATGGTCATTTCAGATGTCAACTACAACGGATGGCCATGATGCTAAATAAGCTTAGAAACTTGTTTCTGTACACAAAACAGTTCTGCTTCTTGCATGAAAGAAAATCCCAGGTTGAGGGAGTAGCTAACTGGTCATGGCCTCGCTGACCTCGCTGTCCCGGACGCACACAAAGAAATTGTCCACTGAAGATTTTGAAAGATTTCTTGTGAGTGTTTACTTTCCTGTGATCTGTGTATCGCCGAGAGCTGATGTGAGTGTCTCATTCTGTATCAACAGGGAAGTTAAGCAGACGCAGATCAGAGTGATTCCCAGAGGTGCCCTCAACCGCCTGCAGAACCTCAGGAAACTGTAAGTGTGTATGTCTGTATGTCGTTCATGTTTATACTTTGATATGGAACATAATGAACTGAGGAGGTCAAAACACTCAAGATGTGGGTCATCCAAACAGACGGGAAGTGTGGATGAGGGTGAAGTGTCAATTCATCAATTACTCCTTCAAAATAAAAAACGGAATTTAGTGATAATATGGTGTGAAGGTCAGTTTGTTTTATCATAATACAACAGTGTGAATGCTACAGCGTATTAGGGCCATTGTAGGTTAAATAAAACTGTAATTCCAAGAAAAAACACAAAACCTTGAATATTTTCTAAGATTTTCAAATTTACAAGAAAAAACTTGGAAAATACATTTTTTTAGATGTGCGTGTTTTATTAAAAGGCTCTGTATTCTTCTGTACTATTAAAAGCAGGGCATGCAGATTTTACTAACAACAGCTGTCACACATAGACTACTTTCACTAATCAATATGATGAGATATGTCCTTCTGTTCAAAACAGCAAAAGCATACAAATTGGGGAGGAACTGCAGAAGAGAAATTTTTTCTCCTAAAAGTACGAATCAATCTCAGTTTAAGTTTTTTCTTGGAATATTACCCCACTCCGCCACAACCATAATAGATTTGTTTTTACCTACAATGGCCCTAATACACAGTCATAGAATGGAGCTTCAATAAAGTTGCATCCCCTTCCTCTGTTCTGCCCTACCTTCAACTTTAGAACCATATCAGAGAACGACATGCTGGAGAGTATCAGCGCGTTTGCCTTTGCCAGCCTCCCTCGGCTCACTGATATGTGAGTATGCGGTTTTATATAAGCCACTGCTCGTGACGTATTTTACCAGATGTGCTTGTGTGTTTAGTCTTTGTTATGGAACAAGAAGAGCTGCAAACTCTGAGAAAACTGATCACCCAAACAGTTGAGGAGTAAGTTTGGTGGGGTGGTGGAGAAATAATACGTCAAAGATTAAGTGTGAATGAACACCTAACAGCTGAATCTTTCAAATATATGTCATATTCTTCATTCATACATTTGTGTTTCCCTTAGCGTCATCTCTGAGAATGTTGCATTAGAGAGGATAGGAGCTTTTGCTTTCTCTGATCTCCCTGAACTCTTTGAAATGTAAGTATAACTGGCAGGATAATGGCAGTGGTGAAACCCTGTAATTGTGAGACCAGTCATTTATATTAATGAGTACATGACTGTGTGTGTTTCTTTCAGAACCATAACAAAGTCAAAACACCTGAGATACATCCATCCAGATGCATTCAAGAACATCGTGAAACTACAGTATCTGTGAGTACTCAGTGTGAGTGCAGCAGGGGGGGAATGCTTTCTTCTTCAGTTTGTGTTTTTCAAACTGATTGTTGAGTCCAAAATGGGTCATGGGTGACAGGCCTACTTCTGACGGGTCCCCACACGTCCAGACATAATTTTTTAATTAGTTTGGATCCCCTGGAAGAGAAATCAAGTGTCATACTTCATCTCATGAAAAACAGTTTTTCCACAAAACAAGTTATACATCATTTCAGACATGTTAAATCTATATTTGTTGCAAAACAGTATATACTAAACTGGATTATTTATATCTTGAAACTGTCTCAAATGACCAAGACAGTGCATAACCAACTATAACTGTTATGTTTGTCCCAATTTGTGAGAACTGGAGCATATAAACTGAACAGTTTATTGGAATAAAATACAATTATTAAACTATTTAACTTTTAAACCAGGGCAACTTCGCACAACAACATTGCATTTTGAATTAGATTTCAAATATTCCTGATTTTACTAGGATTAAATGTTTCTTGTATTAGTTTGTTCGGGGGAAAAAAGGTTAAATGTTATTGCTCTGCACCTTGGTATTAGCTGCCATTCAACTTTTTGATCTTCAAATCTGGTGCCGTCATGAGGTTGAAGTTTGTATTTTTAAGTGAAATGTTTCCAAAACAATTGGATGGGTTTCCGTGACATTCATGGTGGTCAGAGAATTGATCTATATGAATTTGTTGATCCTGTGACTATTCATCTAGCGCCACCATCAGGTCAAAATTTAAGTTTGGCCAATACTTTGGCTTATAACCAAACACCTGCAAAATTGGCATTCCCATTAGCCTCAGCTGTTCTTTGTTTTGCTCTTATGTTAGCATGCTAACAAGCTAAACTACTATGCTGAAAGTACAAGATATGAAGATAGTAAACACCAGCATACAGTATATGTTAGCAAATTCAAAAAAATGCACTACAGAAGTATTACCTTTTGGGTGTGTACGTGAATGGGTAAATATGTAAATAACTGTATAGATTGCTTATTTATTTCACTTTATTTTTATAGCATTTTATCATCTACATTTAATTATTTGTATACTGTCTATATTCAATGAGTGTGTAGCATGAAAGGGCTAGAACTTATGTTTCACCGCGCAACCCTATGTTGTAAAATGACAAATAAATGATGTTGATTAGTACAACCTCACAGAGCTGATTGTGTGGCTGTAGACTCCATGTTGGCACCTGAGCTTCTCTCTGAATTGTCTTGGAATCTCTTCACTTGTTAATTTTTATCTTGGTTTAACACAATGGATGCTACATTGTCTGATTTTTTCACTATGACTCACTGCACAGAGTGTCTGTTGTTCAGAGGTCGCAGTGTGATTGTAGTAACATTTTGTGCTTTATCTGCACATCACAGGACCATCTCCAACACCGGACTGAGAATTTTTCCTAACTTCAGTAAGATCCAATCCACAGCCCACAGCTTTCTGTTGTAAGTCTCAACACAATATACAAATGAACTACAAATGCATGCTGAGACACACACCCACACACTATTATTCCCACATGCACTTGAATACATAGGCTACTGTATGCACACAGAATTAAATATGCCCAGAGGAAATCAAAACACTTCACACAGTTTAAACCTACGCACGAGCAGTTCTTACAGAACAGAATATCAGTAATGCAAACCACCTGTCCCCTATAAAATCTCCCACCTGACATCTATCAGCTTAAAAAATAAGTGGATTTCAAGGAGATTGTGGCATGTATTATCTAATATTTTGCACCTTAAAATTGCACATATCAACTGTGTTTCTACTTGAATATGTACTATTTACTTCTCGGCATTTGTTGTTAATTGTGTGTGTTTGACCAATGTGCTGTTTAGAGACCTGCAAGAGAACAGCGACATAGAGAGAGTCCCCGCCAATGCGTTCAGAGGCCTCTGCACTCAAACTATCACAGAGATGTAAGAGATTCATCACTTTTTTAGAAACACATGCACACCACCCTCACACAGCTCTGAGTGGGCTTTACATGCGCAATGATGAATGTTCCCTGAAATGCTCTCTGCCCTCTTTTTTTTAGTTCTATCTTCTCCTACTTGCCTTCTTTTTTCTGCATCATTTCTAACACACTTAGCGCTACATATAGCCTCTTTATTTTTTTCTATTGTCCCTCTTTTAAGCTGTGGATCCCGAGTTCTAATGAAAATCACATACATATACCTACTACTGTATATGTAGTATATGTATGTATATACTGCATCATAGTCAATAAATCGGTGACTGTGTATTTTAATTTTGTACATAATTGGGTTTTTGCTGTTGTTTTTCTTTTGTAAAAAATACAAAATTAAAAGTAAGTTAGTAAAAAAATAAAACTATAGCTACTACTACTACTACCACCGATAATACTCAGAAGCTATTGACCACATTTAAAGTTGACTGATCAACATTTGTGGAATTTGCACCAGTACAAATATTGCCCTGAATTTTTCTGACAGATGCAGTTACTGTTTACTTTTCAAATTAATATTCTACAAACAATCCATGTCATCAACAATAGTTAAAGTATCTCCCTCTGACTAGATGCAACAATAAAATGCAGCTTACAGTAAATGGTGATTCAGTAATAATTATCCAATATTACAATGTATAGTGACAACTAACAGGCACAGTTACTCTGCATAATCAGTATTTTTGCTTTTAATACTTTATGGTGATACTTTTTCAACCTAAGTAACATTTTGACTTGAACTTGTAACAGACTACTTGTAAATTGTAAGTGTTTACAGAAAAAGTGAGACATTTTGGATATATGCTTGGGGGTTTTATGAGGAGGTGGATCCCACTCTGATTAAACATAAAGCTACAACCAGTGGCCAGTTAGCTTATCACAAAGACAGGAAACAAAAACAAAAAATGCACCTACCAGCATGTCTAAAGCTCACTAGCACATTACATATACTTAGTTTAATCTTTAGAGAACCCAAAGAGTAAAAACTAAGTATCATCTCTTTATGGTGGGGGGTTATGTGCATGAATATTTCTTGGCCTGGACCAGTAACTTCCTGAAGTCCCTGCTGGTTGCCTGGCAATTGCACAGAGGCGAGAAACAGTCTGACACACAGCCCCCTGTAAAACGGCGAGTTGACGTTTTCACACTTCGGTTTTTGTACATATTTAACAAACAAAATGTAACGTGTTAATTAGTGAGCTTTAAAGGTTCTGGTGTGCAAATGTTGTTACCTTTTTGGAGTGAGCCATTTCCTCCTGTTTCCAGTCTTTATGTTAAGCTAAGCTAACCAACTGCTGCCTCTAGCTTCATATTATAGACAGATAGGAGAGTTGTATCAATCTTCTCAAAATAAAGTGTATTTCCTAAAATGTTGAACTATTTCTATCTGTAACATTTCTAATGCAGGACTTACTTATCATAGAATGCTTTGAAATTGTGATATTAGTACTTTTACTTTAGTGAAAATCTGAATGGTCTATGTCTTCCACCACTGCCGAATCTATTCAACAAATGCAGTTTGCCTAGCCTCCGAGGTCCAGACTGTTAAAAAGTAGAAATGGAAGAAAGAGAAGAGGAGAAGGAGAAGGAGAAGTCTTATACAATTATAAAAACTATTTATTTTGTGTTTTTTGTATATTCATACAGCTTTAGTCACTGAGAACAAAAGAACTGCACACACTAAAATTAGTTTAGATATGTTTACTGTTGGAACTGTTCTGTGTTGGAGCCACATGACTGTAATTTGGCTTTCCTTTGTAATGACAGACGGCTCACCAGAAATGGCATCAAGGAGGTGGAAAGTGACGCTTTCAACGGCACAAGGATGCACAGATTGTGAGTCACAAGCAGAGACACACAATTACGAACAGAAGTAAATAAATAAATAAAAATTAGATAGTCATCTCACATATTTAATTCCTCTCTCTTTACTCCCTCTCTCTTAGGTTCCTAAGAGGCAACCAACAGCTTACTCACATCAATCCCAAAGCCTTTGTGGGTTCCAGTGAGTTGGTGGTGCTGTAAGCATTACATCCAACAGTAACTCATGCCTACATGATTCACCCTCCTCATCATCACTTATTAAACTCGTACGAGAAAACAAAAAGCAATGTGGCATGTGTGGGGAGGCTCAAAAAAACTTAGAAACATACCAGACTTAACGTGAAAATAAACCGAGAGCAGGTGAAATTTAATTTTAACCGGAGAGAGAGACCTGTTTATTTCCCCAAACAAAGAGACACCTATTCTATTGAAGTAGCAATCAAAAAAAAACAACTATTATTTAACTATTTTCTTTTGGGCTGCCATGTAATGCCTGTAATTTTTTTTCACTCCACATCCTAGCAATCACTTGGCAATCAAACAGGGACTCTTCACATGATTTTTCTGTTCAGCATCTTTGAGTTTCAGGGGGATTTTTAGCATCACTTCTCTCAGTCTCAGAAAAACTGTTCATTGGTCAAATACTCTGTAAACAGAGAAGATATCTGTTGAAAATGGCATGGATTGTGAACATGAAATGACTGTACCTCCGGTGTTAAACATCAGCTTATTTGTGTTTGTTCCTGCAGTGACATTTCCAACACAGCCCTCAGCTCCTTTCCGGACTACATCCTCGGTGGACTCCAGAGGCTGATCGCAGAGTCCGCCTTCCACCTGAAAGAACTTCCTCCTCTGCAGCTCTTCACCAAACTCCACCAGGCCAACCTGACATACCCGTCACACTGCTGCGCCTTCAAAAACATACACAGGAACAGGTACACATGCATTATCATCACAAGGTATCTGAAAGTCTTATTATTAAAGGAATAGGTCAAAGTTTAGGGAAATTTGCATATTCGCTTTGTTATCGAGAGTTAGATGAGATTTAACCATATAACAGCAGTTTATATTATAACAATAAAAAATATTATAGTATTGACCACAAAGCCTTAATCTCATAGAACTCATTCAAAAATGTGTCAAAAAAGATGCATTCCATCTGCATTCCAAAGCCATGAAAGATTAAAAGAAAATGTATGTTGTCTGTGTTTGTGTGTGTGTTGCTGTTAGATCGAGGTGGAGCTCCCTGTGCTCCCACCCTAAGGCTCAGGATAACCTTCACTTCTACAGGGACCACTGCTCCAACTCCACCTCCATCACCTGCAGCCCAACCCAAGATGACTTTAACCCCTGTGAGGACATCATGTCCGCCGTCCCCCTACGAGTCCTTATCTGGATCATCTCTATCCTTGCGCTGCTGGGGAACGCAGCGGTACTCCTGGTCTTGTTAGGTAAGAAATAGGACAGAGGCAGAAGTCACGTTTGGTTGTACCTCAGATTTTTTTGCGGGGGAAAATTTCATGTACCATTCTGTTAAAGAAAATATGTGCTTTTTCTTTTCTTTTATGTAACATGTTCATTTATATGTAAAAGTCCTGCACTCTAGCTTTGAGGTTCTGCATTCACAGGTGAAAAGTGTACAACTAAACACAATTAGTGCTATACTTAATTACAAATTTGAGGTATTTGTACTGCTACACTAGTATTTCTCTTTAATGAGACTCATCCTCCACTATATTTGAGAAGCAAATGTACTCATTACAGAGTTATCAGTTATCTGGTGACAGTACTTTCTTTGCTAAATCATCCAGTTCTCTCATCATTTGTTTCCTTCTTTCTTTCCTTATTTTTTACTTTCTGCTTTCCTTCCTTGTGTTCTTTCTTCCATCCTACCTTATTTCTTAATAATTAATAAATTGTTGCTTTTGTGTTTACTTATTTTATTTCCCAAACCTGGAATTATTAGGTTTTTTTGCAAAACCCAAGGACATTTCACTGTTTTGCATAGACTGTGTTCTTGTCAGAGTCTCACTTTTTTTTTTTGTCAGGCAGCCGCTCCAAACTGACTGTTCCACGTTTCCTCATGTGCCACTTGGCCTTTTCTGACCTCTGCATGGGCATCTACCTGGTAGTCATAGCAACTGTAGACATGCTCACTCGTGGCCGGTACTACAACCACGCCATAGACTGGCAGACGGGCCTAGGCTGCAGTGCTGCAGGCTTCTTCACGGTGTGTGTGCATGCGTGGAGTCATTTGCATGTGATAGCCCTACATTAACACCCATAAATGTTCATGTTTAACTAGAAACATGTGTGTCACCTGCAGGTGTTTGCCAGTGAGCTCTCAGTGTTCACATTAACAGCAATCACCCTGGAGCGCTGGCACACCATCACACATGCTCTGCGGCTTGACCGTAAACTTCGCCTAAGACACGCATGTATTATCATGACAGCAGGCTGGATCTTCTCCTCCCTTGCCGCTTTGCTGCCCACTGTCGGAGTCAGCAGCTATGGCAAGGTGGGTGCTTCACATAGTCTGCTCAGTCTCCATTCGACTCCTCTGTGCTTTCCAGTTTACGATAGCCATGTACTGTATGTTCTGTAAGAATTTGCTCAGGCCTGTGTAGTTGGGGATGCAAAATGGTGCATGAACTCATACTCCATAAGCCAACTTCAAAATATACAGAAAATATGCAAAACAGCTTATGTTATGTAATGTTTTGTATGTCTCAGATAATAATAATAATAATAATAATCTTTATTTGTAGAGCACTTTTCAAAAACAAGTTACAAAGTGCTTTAACAAGTGTAAAGACAATAATACAAAAACAGTACAAGATAAAAGCATGAAAACATTGAAAAGACTAAAATACACGTTTAAGATAAATATAAAATTAGTAAAATACAATAAAATAAAAGGGATAAAATAAAGTCAAATAAGATCGGGAAAGGCTCTCCTATAAAAGTATGTTTTAAGAAGGGACTTAAAAGAGTTCACTGACTCAGCCAACCTGATTTCCTTGGGTAGGCTGTTCCAGAGCCTCGGGGCCCTGACAGCAAACGCTCTGTCCCCTTTAGTTTTCAGTCAATACTCTGGAGCAGACAACAGACCTCTGCCCGAGGATCTCAAGGTACGTGCTGGTGTGTATGGGACTAAAAGGTCAGAAATATAACAAGGCGAGAGGCCATGAAGAGCTTTAAAAGTGATCAATAGAATTTTAAAGTCAATTCTAAAACATACTGGGAGCCAGTGTAATGAAGCTAAAATAGGAGTAATGTGGTCATATTTCTTTGTTCTGGTTAAAAGCCTGGCATCTGAGTTCTGGACAGTCTGGAGTCGATCAATAGATTTTTGGGTTAAACAGGTGAAAAGGCTGTTGCAATAATCCAGGCGTGATGAGATGAAGGCGTGTAAAATGGTCTCGGTGTCCTTAAAAGTTAACATAGATTGAATTTTTGCTATATTTCTAAGTTGATAAAAACATGATTGAACAAGCTTTGTGGTGTGCTGCTCGAAATTTAAATTACTATCAAACCAAACACCAGGGTTCTTTGCCACAGGCTTAATGTGATTTACTAGGGAACCAGCAGATGGCAGTATTTGATTTGCCATCTGCTGAGATCCCGATGACCAGGATTTCTGTTTTGTCTGAGTTCAGCTGGAGGAAATTATTTGACATCCATTTTTTAACTTCACAAAGGCAGTTGTTAAGTGAACTCAGCATTCCAGGGTCTGTGGATCTGACGGGCAAGTATATTTGTGTGTCATCAGCATAAATATGAGAAAGAAATGCCATGTTTATGGATAATATGTCCAAGGGGAAGCAGATACAAGGAAAACAAAATGGGTCCTAAGACCGACCCCTGAGGCACACCTTATTTAACTGGACAGAACGAAGAGACATAGTTGTTTACAGACACGCAAAACTTCCTATTTGACAGGTAGGATGAAAACCATTCTAGGGCAGTACCAGAGATCCCCACCCAGTGCCTCAGTCTGTCTAACATGATGTTGTGATCAATGGTGTCAAAAGCAGCGCTAAGGTCCAGGAGTACCAGGACTGAGCACATGCCTTCATCAGCAGACATTAAAAGGTCATTGGTGACTTTAAGCAGGGCAGTCTCAGTGCTGTGGTACTTCCTAAAACCAGACTGAAACTTTTCAAATATTTTCTGTTATTTTCCAGTACAGTGAGCAGCTGTTTGGACACAATTATTTCTAGAATCTTTGCAATAAAAAGCAGTTTTGAAATTGGTCTAAAATTATGTGGGAGGGAGTGGGTTCACGCAAGCCGTTTTAAAATAATCAGGGACACAACCAGTAGATAGGGAGCTGTTGAAAACAGAGATCAAATGGGGCCCAACAGAATCCATTACTTTCAGTAAAAACTTTGTAGGCATTACATCAAGTGGGCTGGAGGACAAAGATGACATTCAGTAGACATAGGACTGCAGCTATACGATTACTGTCATTAGCAATTAACCTGCCAATTATTTTCTCAATTAATCACTTAATGGTTTGGTCCAATAAACACCCGAAACAAAGTGAAAATTGGTCAGAACAATTTGATAGAGCCTGAGGTGAAATCATCATCTGTCTTGTTTTGAGAGGACAATGGTAGCCTATCCAGAGACAGCAAACACAGATAGAGATGCCCACACTTCTGCTTTGTTTGAGAACTGTGAAATATATAAACAGTAATTCACATATATTATATTCCTCTGCTGACCTTAAGTTAATTATTTTGTTCATACAAATATAAAGCTATTTACACATAGAGTGGATGTTTTTCATATAGCCTACAGGTCCACAAAATTACTATAGGCCCACAAAATAGTCTGGGTTTAACTGGTCCAGACCTCTACAGAGAAGCTTTTTTGAACGTGTGTGTTTATGTGTCTGTATTTGTTGTCGGTGCAGGTGAGTATCTGCCTGCCCATGGACGTGGAGTCTCTAGTGTCTCAGGTCTATGTGGTGTCTCTACTCCTCCTCAACATTCTGGCCTTCTTCTGCGTGTGCGGCTGTTACCTTAGCATCTACCTGACTGTCCGCAACCCCTCATCAGCGCCGGCGCACGCCGACACCCGAGTGGCCAAACGCATGGCCATCCTCATCTTCACTGACTTCATCTGCATGGCTCCCATCTCCTTCTTTGCCATCTCAGCGGCTCTCAAGCTCCCTCTCATCACCGTCTCAGACGCCAAACTCCTGCTGGTCCTCTTCTACCCAATCAACTCCTGCTCCAACCCTTTCCTGTATGCCTTCTTCACCCGCACCTTCAGACGGGATTTCTTTCTTCTCGCAGCTCGCTTTGGCCTGTTTAAGACCCGGGCACAGATTTACCGAGCAGAGAGTTCCTCCTGTCAGCAGCCAGCATGGACCTCTCCAAAGAGCAGCCATGTGATGCTGTACTCCTTGGCCAATACATTAAGTCTAGATGGGAAACATGACTGCTGACTGTCATTCAAAAACAGATACAGACTTTTTGCTGGATTGTCAACAGGAGGGTCATATTTCTCTCCCCACCAAAGTCCCAATTCTCTCTGGCAAATTAAGAAATCCCTCTTAGGACTTACGGAGTTATTGACAGAATCTAATGCATGAACGCTTCTTAAAGTCACAAAAAATTTAACTTTGCTAAAGAGGTACACTTGTTTTCATGTGTGCAAGTGCACCACCCCTATCAGACAGCTAAATCCTCAAATTGATGCCCAATGTCATCTTTATCGAACTTTGTTGGTTTTCATTTTTCTCTAATGTTGCTGGCTCTTCAGGCCTGACCTCAGTGCTGCAACAACACAGTGTGCAGTGTCCTTCTGAAACCACGTGACCCATGGGTAAATGCTACTGTATACAGTGTGTCTAGAAATCCAAGTGAAGATTAGAACAACTGCAGGTACTTTGACAAATCTAAGTCAAATAGCTGTCATAAATTATTCCTTGTGTTTGTTTTAACTTAACAGGAACGCCAGATATGTGGCGATTAAGGCATCATAACAATTAAGATCACAAGTAAGAAGAGTAGAAAAAGATATAAACTGATTGTTCTTATGTAGCAAATGCCATCCATCTAGTGTCCCAAGATAATGAAACAAACTAAAGTACTTTGAATCTGTTTTACAGATATCAGCATCTGCACTTCAAGAAATTAAATTTCCACATGTCACGTCAACACCATGACTGAATGTAATTCATTAAGAAGCACATCGCAGGGCTATACTGATTAATAATCTCCTCAAATACTCTGTCTGCTGTCACTCTCCCTGGCTCCACATCCCTCATACCCTTCAGTGTGTACCTATCTTTGTAATGTAATTGTGTTTATTGTTTGTAAATATTTTTAAGTGCCACTTTTTTATATATATGTGTGTACTACAAAATATATCTTTGTGATGTTTTTGTGATGTCATTTATAAAGTTGTTTTATTACATCCTCCCTGTTTGAGTAGATTTTGTATGCTGAACGAGGGTGTATATGGAGTAGTAACAAAAGGACAAAACACACACACACACACACACACTAAACTGAGTTGCCTTTAGCTAGAAATGCTGTCCTTCGGCGCATCCAAAGCTTTCAAGGACAGAGTGACCCTACCAACCTCTGCTCTGTGTGCCAGGTTGGGTGAGTGTGGGAGGGGGAGACTACACAGCTGCTCTTTCTGCATATTACAGGAGGATGGATATGGCCGCTAGATAAGGCACACACACACACACACACACACACTCAGAAGCAAGCAACCCAGGGTTTCAAGGCTGCAGCTGCAAGAAGGAATCCAAGTCCATCTCATTGATATGGATACACTGCCTCCTACATGCCAACATTGAACGTGTGGGTGCATTAATACTCTTTCACCAGCAGGTGATGCTACTGATGCAGGATTTAATTTGGTCCCTGCTCTGTTATGGTCTATAGGTAATGTCAACTGCTCAGCAGACACTGTAAATATTCAAACAAACAATTGATAGTGACAGCAAAGCACACCTTTACAGCACTTCAGTGTGGGGTAAACATATTTAAGATACAAAAACATACATCAGTGTTGAAGAACAATAACAATAAAATGGAATATTCTCTGTCTTCATGGCTGGTGGTATTCTTTCCTAACATGTTTTCATAAAAGAAGAACAAAACAGAGATATCAAACCATCTCTATTATGTCAATAAAAAAAGGTTGTACGCGGAGAACAGTTGCATATAAGATTACATCACCGTTTCTGAGAAAGGCTGACTTCAATACTTTGACTGATATAGTCTCAGTAAGATATTTCTTTGCAGCTCAGGACTAGAAACCGTCTCTGAAAAACTCCTTCTCACCTGCTCGTGCAGACAATAGTAAATGTGATGTTGACAATCTTTAAAGTCTCTAGACAGAGCTCTGTGGAATAATGTGACACATTGGGGCCTACAGAAAAAAAAAGCTATTGAGGTCTGATTTTCCCCAAGCTGTGCTGTGTTTGCTGAGTACATAGCTGGACCTACTTTAAGGGATAACATTCAGTGCATCCTATCTCGAGATCTCGAGATAATGAATGTTGTTTTCCCGTGATAATGGGATGATTTTCTTGTGATCTCGAGATAACAAAACAGTAGTTTAACACAGTGGTTTAATGGTAATTCCAGTGCCAATATTAGTAACACTGGTTAGCTCAGTGGTGCAGTGGTTAGCGCTGTTGCCTCACAGCAAGAAGGTTGTGGGTTCAAGTTTGCATGTTCTCCCCGTGTCTGCGTGGGTTCTCTCTGGGTGCTACAGCTTCCTACCACTGTCCAAAGACATGTGGACTAGGTTAATTGGTGACCCTGAGTTGTGAGTGTTTGTTTACGTGTGGCCCTGCGATGGATTGCCGACCTGTCCAGGGTCTACCCCACCTTTTGCCCGATGTCAGCTGGGATTGGCTCCAGCCTCCCGCAATCCTGTACGCAGGATAAGCAGTTGACGATGGATGGTTAGCTCAGTGGGGAGGGCATAGGATTCTACGGCATACTTTTGGAGTTGTGGGTTTGATCCTCACCAAAGACTAATCTTTTTCTCTTTTTTGTCATTTTTATAATCCTCTTCAACAAAGTTCTTATGAAGAGACTGTTTCACGTACTCATAATAAAGCATGTGCTGGACTTTGTCCATCCCGGGGATTGATCCACATCCATCAACCTATGGACTTTTCATTTCCCAGGCAGGAGTCAAACCCTCAGCCCTCAAATTACAAGTCCTGTGCTACCAACTGAGCTAACCAGTCAATCTGAAAACAATGTAAAGTTATCCTAAAGAAAAGTACCGGCCGACCCCTGTATTCAGCTATGGTTGGTTATCTCGAGATCACAAGAAAATTATCCCGTTTTCACAGGAAAATGGAGTAAATATATATTTGAATAGATGGCGTACTGTAGGCTATATGTGTTTACTTGATTATTTATTTCCAAAGCACTATAAATGATTCAGTGGATTGTAACGTAATCATCCTCAAACTCATATCTACTGATTACTAAAAAATGATGAATCATTGCTTTTGTTGAAGGTTCAAAGGTTGTGGTACAGATCTTCTCCAAACAGAACACAACGTGATGAGAGAAAAGAAAAGAAAAGAACGTAGCCTGTAACTATGTAACAAAACAGTGTCATGCTGTGTCCTTATACTCTGAGATGATAATCTAACTGCTAGCAGACAAACAATGCCCTCTGGTGGTCCAATTATATAAAATGATAGGCTACTAAATAATGAAACATATTTATTAAAGTGATACTCCACCCAAAATCTATAAATTAAAAATTCTAACATTCACATCTCCTGTAAGCTTGATAAAAAAGATTGTAGATTAATGTCAGCTGCATTCATGTGAGCATTCATATCAGTATGTAAAATTGATTGTATATTGTATTTCCACTGAAATGGAACACTTTTGTCTCATAATTGATTAATACATATGGAACTTTTATTATATATTGAGTAATACAATTTGTGTTTGATTTGTATGTGATGCATTACCAAATGCAAAAAAGAAGATTTAGAAATTATGAAAGATCATTACATTTAATTGTTTTGGGTTTAAGTCATACTTAAATGTTAACTGAATTGTAAAATTAACTTTATAAAGGCTTTTAAATTTTACTTTTTGTTATCCCATTTAAAAATGCATCTGCCTATTGTGCTCCATCTCCAAATTCATGTGTCTCCTGCTTTAACCTCAATATCGCTTTCAATGATTTTGAAGTGTGAAAACATATAAACTTTCTATCAGAGACATTTAACGTATCTGCCCTCCATATGCTCAATATGCTCTAAACACACATATATGGCAAATAATAGATGTCAATCTATTCAATTAGTTAAGAAGATAATTAGATTCAAGGTTTTGCTTTTTGTTAATAATAGAGTGATAGTGTTGCTGGTTTATATCCCTTGTTAATGTGCCACACTATTACAAAATACACTAACATGTAGCTCAGTCTTTATGTATTACAGCAGGGCTGCAAAATGTGTATTATTTTGATGACTGTGGGGTCCATTGATGTGCTTATACACTGATCAAATCGCTGCTTGACCGATCCCGAACCCCAACAGAAAGGTTTGTCAAGTCGTCTAATACGAAGCTCCTGATTGGCCGCTGCAGGAGGAGATAATAAAACACCAAACCTGATTGGTCAAACGGACACCCAGCTCTTTTTTTCTCGCGATTGTTTCCCGTGTGGGTTAATGGCTCCTCCTGCTACAGACTGAGACGGAGCTGGCACCGAGCAGCGAGACGGGGGGAGCTGTAACACCACGGAGGAGGGAAAAAAAGCGATTACACCCCAAATACCAGCGGGTTTTTGATCGCAATTGTTTGGGTGTATCTGGGAAAAAAGGCTGTCCGGGTGGTAGTTTGGGTCGAGGGCTAAAATTAGAATCCGGCGGTCGAGGATAACAGTCTATTTTCCAACAACCAACTCCCCAGATGAACTCCGTCAGAGCCACCAACAGGAGACCCAGGCGAGTGTCGAGGCCGCGCCCGGTGCAGCCCGAACGGAACAACGGGGAGAGAGGTAAGCTAGTCCACGGTCAGCTAATAATATAAGACGAAGCCGTGTCAGGTGATCATTGTCTTCACATATCCCTCAGTTTCTGCTACTGGCCTGTTCTCTCCCTCTAGAGACGGCGGGTTCAGCAGGAAAAGCCGAGGCTTCTCGCTCTGTGGTTTAGGCCAGGCCGCGCTTTGTTTGGCTTGAGTGATTGGGGCTAGCTAACACCGCTAGCTAGCCTTCCAGGTTATGTGGATGTTGGGGGTTGTGTTCGCATAACGTGATGCGTATGTAGCTACACGGTCAACATTAAAAGCTCTTTTTCCCGTAACCTCCGCTTGAGGCAAAGGGATCGACTTCACACGCAAGAGCCACAATCTGCGCGTCTGCTCAGTTGTTGCATTCCCAGCTGTCACTACCGATTCCGAGGGTGTAAATCTGCGGCGTCTTTGGACTGCCATTTTTGGGGTGTAACGTTAACAAAAACATTAGCAGCGAATGGGGGTAATGATAGCTAGCTGGCCCTAGCTTAAAGAGGCCACACAGATCAGCTGTGATAGATGATACGGTGTGATTTGGATGAATTCACATGTCAATTTTCTGTGCTCGGAGCTGTAGTTTAACGCAAATGTAGCCAGCAGAGTGAACCTATATCCCCTTCCTTGTTCGCTAGCCGTAGCTCGATTTGTTTACACCGCGGATTTGCCAGCTACGCAGTTCAGTTTTTAGCCATTAGCCGCACGTATGATTGTCTTCATCTGCGGCCCTTTATTTGACAGCAGCATAAAATATGAGTGTGATTCTGCTCATACGGGACGCAGAGACATAAACATACTGCCCGATACCATTTGGAAATGACTAGACATGAAAGACTGGTACTGTGGCTGCAGGGGGTGCATCTGCCATTATCAATCACTAACCTTTGTCTGCTATACCAAGTATTACCATGTCTGTTAGCCTGCGCAGTGTGAATACTGCATGTGAGCTGAATTCACACCATTGTGTCATTAATGGTGAGGAGTGTCAAGTGTTTGCTGCAATCACTGGATACATTTTAATTGTATAATAGAGAGAGAGATGATTGGGCTGACCCATAAATACACATTCATTTATATTTATTGCACAGCCTTGTTCTATACTGCAGCTCTGTGCATTGAAATGCCTGTTTAGAACATGGTGTATGTAATAGGAAATCTGTTTGCCTTTCTGTCCAGATGAAGAGGCTCCTGCAGCAGCTGCAGCAGAGATGGCTATTGAGGAGTCCGGTCCAGGAGCTCAGAACAGTCCCTACCAGCTTCGACGCAAGACCCTGCTTCCCAAGAGAACCGCTGCTGCCTCTGCCACCGCCTCTGCCTGCCCCAGCAAGGGCCCAATGGAGGTTAGACTGAAACATTTCATGAGTGCATTTCTTCATGTATTCATTGATTGCAATGTGCATC